GATGAGGTTTGGAGCAACCTGGTGTCCCTGGTTGCAAGGTGTCCCTGCCCATGGCAGGGGGGTTGGAACTAGATGATCTTTAAGGTCCCTTCCAACCCAAAACATTCTGTGATTCTATGAGGTGGCAACACATGTTGGTTTATGTTCCGCTGCACTGCTCTTCACAATGCCCGTAAAGTTTGTACAACTCTCATTAGCTTAGTGACATTCAACGTGGTACTTTAAGGAAACATTACTGAAATAAAGCTGTCACGATAGCCCTTTTCACACACCTTTCGCTGTTACTCTTGTCCAGCTCAGTTCACAAGAACTCAGAGCATTTTCAGCCTATACGTACGTAATAGCTGATTATAAAATCACTTTGTTTTACCTTGGTGACACTTTCATACAGAGCAGTTCTTTTCTGCTTATACCCTTCTCCAAAAAAAGGGGCCCTAACTGTGCCCTCCCCTCAATACCTGAATTTGCTTGGTATCTCTGCTTCAGATTTGTGAACTTCCACAGATTATCTCACAATTTAGACCACACAGCCTAAGGGCAACTGGAATACTGGTACTTCAGATGTAAGTTATAAAGCTTTCAGATATCTGCTTTATTTCTAGAACATTTTTATGCATATCAGTTCCCACATAAACAGTAAGTGGCTCACGACTGGCATGTTTCAGATGAATCTACAGAGGCAAAAAAAATTCAGAGGGAAAACCCCTCTGTTCTGACCCATACCGTTGCTGTGAGGCCAAGAATGGACAGTGGCACTTCTTACGAGGGCTTCATCCACCTTCCCGCCGGTGGGGTTGTCCACATACTGCCTGCCTTGCTCAAGGGCATTGAAGCACTCTATCCAGGAGTCGTTACTGTCTGCCTGCAGCCTGTCGTAACTCCAGTTCGTACACGGGAGCGCCTGGCGGTTATTGGAGGACATATAATCCAAGCAGCTCAGCGATGTGAAGGGCTGTGTGTGCTGATTCTGGAGGAGGAGGAGGAGGCTCATTGGAGGTTCCTGGGTCCTTCGAGCTCCCTCTCCCATCTGAGAGAGCACATTGCTTTGACATATCATCAGTCGTCTTTCCGCAGCTTGGCCAATGTCTGAGGTCTTGCCAAAAATGTCCAGCTCATCCTCAATGAAGAGCCCGGAGTTGTAACCTAATTTGCGGTTCATAATGGCGCTAAAGCCACAGGTGCAACGGTACTGATCCTCGTTGGATGAATCTGGGATGTAGAGCCCAACGTCCGCACCTTTAATGTTCATATTACAGGCGCATATACAACAGCTGTCGAAGTTACGGTCTTTGAAGATGTTCAACACGGAGTCCGAAAGAATCAGGGTGACGTACAGGCTGTGGGCTTCTGGGATCGGCTGGACGGTGGCTGGCTCCACGGAATTAAGCGGCCGTGTCGTAGACGGGGTAGAAGCAGGTGAACCTTGATCTGTGCTGTCGTATTTTACAGATCCTTGACCACTCGCAGTGCCCCCGCCTCTAGGAGTCCTTGGGGTCCTGGGGGTGCGTGGGGTAGGGACAGAGAAGCGGGGAGTTGCTGGTGACGGCAGAACTCCTGCTCCGCTGTTGCTGGCCGGAGCAGCGCTATTTAGCGTCACTGGTGTATTCATCTGAGGAGTGTTCATCTGAAGATAGTCTTGGTCAGCCAAACTCCCCACACTAGGCACATTGCTACAAGAAATACATGAAAAACAGAGTCAAATCCATCAAACTGACTGGCTGCCGAGACTGATGTTGTCAAAACTTATCTCTAAATACCAGGAGATGGTGAAAATGAAAGGACTGTGAAACTCTAGCAAAGAAAGAGCACCTTCAGCTGTTCTGCTCATAACCATTTACTCATTTCCCTAACTAAAATCGTAATTCCGATCACGAACACTCTTGTTTCCTATCAGTGTAACAAAAAGGTATCTCTCAGGCACTCAGCCCTCTCTTAAAAATTATTCCCATGGCCTAAAACTGAAATGCTCTTAAGAAGAATCTCCAGAAAAATGATGAAGTTAAGGTTTTAGGATAGTTGTAGCTCTCTGCGGAGAAGAGAAAGAATTGTAGCTGTTTCAAACCCCATTATCTGGAAAGAGACACACATTAGTGGGAATGAAGGAAATAATGTCGGAGGCATAGAAAGCTTATGTTATTTCAGAAACCATCACTTCAGACGTTGTGCACGTGGCACTGCCATAGGACGTTGCCTCTTGGTGGTAGGCAACTGGTAATGGTACGTGAGATACTGTAAATGCAAATACGCACTTAGGACTACGCAGCCGCGAGCACAGCGTGACACGCCCCGTTCAAACACTTAGTCCAGTAAAGCTAAGAGTCGTTTTTGGGTCATCTCCTGTCATGACTGGGTTTTACTACTGTTTTTTTTCATTTTCTGCCAAAATTAAGTGACCCAAGAACAGACTGTACACTCCTGTGAGATATCTTCTCCCTGCAATGACTCATTTTATCAAGGAACAGCTAATATGGGGACAACCAAAAGAGTAAGATCCACCTAACTTTCCTCTGTGCGAGTTGCTAGTAAGCTGCTCGCTTTTCCTGAAATTTGTCTTTACGTATTAGGTCGGGGAAAAAGCGTAAGAACTCAGTGAGCCTCTTGATAAAGGAGGAGAAACAGGTTTTTTTAATGTCTGTCTGTTCTTACTGTGTATGTTGTGTGTTATTTAAAAGGAGTAGTATTTTAATGCTCACATACTGTTAGTGATGGGAAAAGGAAAATAATGAAGATTTTATTCCTCGGAATCATTTTATTAACCTGAACTGATGTGTGTCCAACTCAAAGCAAGAGAAGGAAAAGAATGAACCAAGGTTTGGAGGAGCTGTGAGTCTGAAGCACACTGAATGCCTCAGACTAATAAGAAAAGGTGACCTAGAAACCTTGATTGGCAATCACCACTCCGTCGGAAGCCCGCAGTAATCATCTTTGCTCTAATTGGATTATATTGAAAATGAAAGGGGTTTTTTTCCCCAACAAATACCTGAAATTAATAACCAGCTCAGGTCTGCTGAATCAGTTACTATTATTAAAAAAACTGAGAATTAAATTGCTCCCTAGGCACTATCAAGGGTTTACAATTTCTTTTTTGCAATTCTTTTGAGAACACCGAAGGATCCTTTGGAGCTGGCAAAGGACCGATTTAAAGGATTTGCAGACTGATTTAAAGATACAAGCTACCTCCTCTAGAAACAAACGCAGTGCAGTAGGAGACCTTTGTACTATTATGATGTCTTTTAAGAGGTTTTATGAATTTAATGGTGCAAATTCTTTATAGGTTTCAAAATCTCCAGCAAGGAATTTCTTCCATAGACTTGTAATCTGTGAGAACTGACTAAGGAATACAAGCTTTTAAATTTAATAGCAGTCTTTGCTTATAGGTCACAGCGCTCTCATGCTCAAGAGAGGCTTGGCATCCTTCCTTTCAGTAGTCAGAAGGGGAGGACAGCATATATCTGATCAGCATCTGTCTGATGAGCAGCTCCGTATGTGACCCATTCCGGTTAAATCACACAAACACAAGAGCTAATGGGAGAACATGGAGAAGAGAGCTGTCACAGGCCTACTCAAAGCGTTAAGAGCCCTCAGAAGGCAAACCAGTATCATCAGGCCCAGATATCATCAGACTGAAGCTCAAACTGAATACCCAAGAACAAACAAATGGCCTCTAACTGTAGGCTAGAGAACTGAAATGGGAGGACAGAGATGCGAGAGGTTAAGTGCATTAATTTTATTCCCTAACACTGCTCTATGACGAATTACTGTATTTTCCTGTATCAGAAGTTGCAATTAATTCAAGTGCCACATGTTCCTGTTCTTCTAAAAGCGCTGAGAGTGTAGTAGACACATCCTGTAACAACACCGATTTCCAAAAGCTGCTTTTAATTCAAACGTTCCTTCTGTCAGAACTGTTTTGAACTAAGACAGTGACAAATTTAAAAGGTTTAAAATATATTTGCAGGATATTTTGTGGTTCGGGTGCATAGTAAAGCACTGCCAACTTATGCAAACATTTCAATTAACAGACCATTTTAGATACGGGCACGACAAACTAATATCCTACAAGACTGTACTTACTTGTAGCCATCTCTAATGAAAGTGGCTGCAGGCGGCAGAGGAAGTTGTTCAATTTTAGGAGGAACAGCCCAAGAAGGCCTGAAAATGCAGGCATCTGGTATCTTCAGAGGTAGGAGGCACTGACTTGGCAGTATCTTCAGTGGAGCAAATACAGAGGAGCCCACAAAAGGTTGAAATGATGGAACTTTGTGCACATACGAAAAATCCTGTAACATCCAAGTGGCATTGTTTACAACAATACAATGAAGTTGCTCTTTACAGTTAGATCTTTATTTTTAATTAAAACCTATTGTACTGTTTAAATGCTCTACAACTGCACTTATTTCCAAAATGAAGTATATTTATTCATTCTACCAGACATTCAAGAGCAGTTCCTTCAAGGAAACTCAGCTGAGGCTCCTTGTTCCACCGAGGTGCTATACAACAATAATGCCAGTAGATTTCACCATTAGATTAGACTCATTTAAGACAAGCTATGTCTGAGACGTGAACAGAGTACTATGAAATTTTCATACTACCTAACTTTAAGCACCTAATAAGGCACTTAAAAGATGGATCTTTGCAAGATTTCTATACTGACAATGGAGAGAGAGGCTGAGTCATAGTGCGAAGAGACCTTAGGGGCCTTACATCAGCCTCTCTGAATAACCCCCACGTTGGGGATTAATACAATCCAAGTGCTAACAGTGGACATTTTACACATGCCAAATATTAAATCTAAATGTAGTATTAAGTATATATGCACTCGAGTAAACATAGTATTAAATATAAAACTGGACTTTCATTGACTGTCATGTTTGTTTGCAGCGAATGATGACAAGAACTTCAGCCAGAGTTTCTAGAGCTATTCCAAGTTTCTCTCAGAAGAAAAGAGCTAGTCCTTTTGAGGCACTACTGCGAAATAAAAATCATTATTAAAACAATAACAGTAGTCTCTCTCAGAATTTCAGCATTTAGCATCCCATGAGATCTTGCACCTTGTAAAGCATTGAGAGATGAGCAATGTGTGGATTTCTATCTCCAGCTGCTGAACACTCAGCACAGGAAAGCTACTTACATGTTCTCAAAATGATTAGCAATGGGTCTAGGTGCTTGTTTCCCCACGGGTGTACATGAGCAGGTGTGACACACTTAAAAGCACGTAAACTGTGCTGTTGGAAATGTTATCAGCCAGAATTAAAACCTGTATTTTCATATTCCTAAAACGGTTGTGAGGGAGATTAAAATATCTTCAGTATCAATGACACCCTAAAAATCTGTTCCCACTCAAAAACTTCCAGCTCAACAAATTCCAATGCAGTTTTCCTTTCCAGGCCCAAATTATCCTAGTCTTAAGCAAGTGGTTACTGCACAAAGAGGAGAAAAAACCCAACAAGGTCTGTGGCAAGGCAGTCTTACAAACCTTAAAAAACCAACTTCCATAACGGTGTAAAACTGACAGTTACAGGAGCTGTACAAGGCGGGTGGACAACCGTACTTCAGCAAAGCTTCTCGGAAGATGCTTTTCCTCATCACGCCTCAAGCTATGAAGTTAGGGTGGATGGAAGAAGAGGCCTTGCAGACTTGCCACAAACGCCTAGCTTGCCAGGGGGTTAACCGTCTTCACGAGGGGCACGCTGCCGATCCTTACACTCTGCAAAGTCTCTCCTTCTCAGCAGAGCTGTTTGTAAAAGTTCTCTACCAGCTCAGCCCCTTCTCTCCAGTTTGCAGCCCTGTGAGCTGGCAGCTCCTGGGTCTGCCCAGACACACTTGATCCTTATGGAGACATAATCCCAGAATGCAACGAGCTGTCTCACTGCCCCGGGGACAGGGACTTCCTGTCCCACGGACAAAAATGAATGATCCCATGGGGAAAGCCAACCTGTGGCTGGCCCGTGCTCCACTTCAGTCTGCCTAAGGTATACAACTTCTGCCATGCAGGAAAAACTGCTAATTCATAGCTACATCATTTACACTAACATAAATTTGTATATGGGTGTTCTCATATTGATACACGGCCACTTCTTGTCCATGCAACTGCAAGCGCTGTACCTTTCCGTGTATAGCTAGCGCTCTCAGCAATGCAGATGACTAAAAATAAGCCTTCAGTTAATTCCAGCATTCACAGGAGCACAAAGTGAGGGAGAAGGAGGAAAGAAATGGCCGCTGAAATAGAAGGAACAGGCTGTGGCAGATTAGGGGCAGGGCGGACCTGAAGGAGAATAAGCAGGCTACAAAATCAAGGGTTGGGGACTACCAGGAAGGTAAGAGTTGTAGTGTGTGTCTCCCTTTTTATTACCTGTGTACAAATGAGCTTGCTGCAGAACAGGCGATGAGTATTTCCACAAGGAAACGTGCATTCTTAAATTACAAAACCCCTCAGGCTGTACGCATGGAAATATGGTAACAACTTCTGACAAAAGTGACAACAATCGGCCCCAAAAGTTAAGTAATGCAGAATACACACAAGCAGGCAGAATGGTTTTTTTAACATACCTCTTAACCTGTGCTAAAGATGGAAGAATGAAATACAAATCGATGTACACTAGGTGCTTATGTCAAGTCCTTTTATGTGATGCTATGGAAAAATGGATACATCTTGATATGTAAAGTCGGGGAGGTGAGTACTAGTACCCAGCAGCAGAGTCCCCATTTAAAAATAGTTCTTTACTCAGATACACTATAGGACTCAATATAGGAGGAACTATGTGACATTACCTGACCTGTGTTATACAGAAAGTCAGATAAGAATGGTCCCATCTGGCCTTAAAACTTGTGAAGTAACATCAGCTGAAGAAGAAACAGAGCAAGTTCAACCCCTGGGCTTTCTCAGAGCTTTTCAACCCTAACCAAAAAAGGCAACATTTCAGAGAGAAAAAGGCAGCCTTTCTACATGCATGATTTTATCCTAGCTGCATCCCCCGAGACTGGCAGCAAGGAGTGGCTATACATAAAAGGTGCTACAGAAAAATTATCTGAAGAAATAAATCATTTAACAGCTACTTAGTCACAAGCATGATGCTTTTTCAAATACGTACATTCTTTCTGTTAGACATAGGGCTCATTTCACATAGAATATTGTTTCCTGAGAACATCCAAAAACATTACAAACATAAAATTACGAGAAGAAAAATACCTACAGTTAAAAATCAGGGAAACAATTAAAAAGCTTTTTTATCAGAGAAGAATTTTTTTTCCAACTAAAGGCTGACATGTACTTTATATGGATCCATTCACATTTGTTAAAGTAGACCGCTACACACACTACATGTGACTTGCTTATAAAAATCACAACATACATAGATGGGATTATAAAAATGCCACGTCTTCGGCATGTTACCTTAATTTCTTCAGGTTTAGGGCTACCTAATCCATCTTCCACCTCCATTTTAAACTCAGCAAGCTGTGTGGGAACCATGTTGACCATGGGACTTTCCATCATTCCCAAGGTAGTCACGGTCTCTGAACTTATTCCATCTTTGTAACTCATTACCGGGGAGAAGGCAGGGTGTTGTTCTAAAGAAGGTGGTGTTGGGAACATCCTTTGGAGATCTGCCACAGCTAAATGAGATGAAATAATGCACTGTTAATCATTAAAATATAAATGTTCAAGGAAATCCAGTAAAACAGAAGAGGCCAACTCAGTACTAGCTCAGTTAGAACCTTCCAAAGATTCGACCGACTTACTGACGCCGTACATAATCTAGACAAAATTTAACTTTTAGGGATAAATTCCAAAAACTCCTAGGGATACTTTCCAAGCTTACTGTTGTTCAGCAGAAACAACAAAGTGGTAGATACACAAATTCAATGTACAATTTACCAGCACCAACAAAATATTTCATAACAGCAGAGACTAACTGACATCAATGCCAAGTTCACCCCAGCAACTGTTACTAAGGAGATGCAGAGTGGCTTCATCCCTTTCTTAGAGCTGATACCCAGCCCTGCAATGGGAGGCTGTTGGAATTAGTGAGCACTTAGCTGCATTTTTCCACTGACATACTGTCATTGTAGTCTCATTTGGTCCATGGCGACACAACTGCTGAGGAGAAGGCAGGCTACTGTTGCTAACACAAACACACGCAATTTTGCTTAAGAATCAGACTGCCAGGCATCCAAAAGTGACAAGCGTCAGGGGAAGCCACAAAATTATCATTTTGCATCACAAGACGTTAAGCCAGGAAAATCTCTAAATTACTTCTCAGTAAATGAACGCAATGTAATCATCCATCATGTATTTTTCTTATTCAAGCAAAACAAAAAACCCAACAAAAATGCTTTAAAAAGTGTAACGTGATAGAACAAAAATCAGAACAGAGTCTTATATTTTCTTCCCAGCTACACTCCTTCTCCTTCCAGCTACTGGCTTCCATATCTATTTTACTTAAAATTCAGAATACATGCTATCTTTCCCTGACCTGAGTTAGCACAGACATTCTCTGGACATAGCCATCATGCTGGTGAATTCGTTGTTAAAAGACTCTAATTAGAGAAGGGTGAATTCCCATAGGTATCTCTTCTTAAGTACTTTTTCTGGCAGACTAAATGCCCAATTCTACTTCCATTCCCAAACACACATCCAACCCAAGTTGACAGGACACAAGGACATACTTCAGTTAGTAAGTTTTGCAGCCTAAAGATTATGAAAAATTCATGAATAAATACAGATGGACTTCTGACTGGTAAACACTGTGTTGTGGAAATCCAAATTGGTGAAACATAGTACTGCTTTAAAAAACTCATTGAAAAAGGCAGAAATAAAGGATGGAATTAAAATGTATATATATTATATGAATACATACACCAGCAGTACATTTTTTGTAGGATGCTGAAACATCAAGCTCTGTCTCCACTGTGCCTTAACAGAGCCCAAACCTGAATTTCATTCTTTTGTGCCCAGAGATAAGACAGCCAGTCTATTTAAGTTTTTAGACAAAGTGAAACAACTCAAATAGTCCTCTCAGAATGTAGTTCTGTGGTAATAAGAGTCAAAGCTGAACCCAAGGCCTTTCACAACCCGGAGAAGTGAAGTAAACAATGGGCTATGAATTATCGCCACTCACCGCACCCTTTTTCTTCCCCCCCTCCTTTTTCAGTCTTTGAATTAAAAATGTAAAAGACCTTAGTCTTGTCCTGATACGGGATAAATAAATGTTGAAAACATGTTCAGTAGAATGGAAAAAACTATTTTCCACTCAACACTAGGATGAAATATGATCTTCAGGATGTCAGCTGGATTAGCTACTGCCTGTTTTTCAGCAACGAGAAGTGCGCTTTAGGAACTGGAGCAAGGGGACAGGAAGGAAGGTTAAAGTGAAATGCAGTCGGTAGGATGTTATTGTGATGTACAAGGCATGTCAGTCCCCTACAGACACTGCTGTGCCCTGGCAGCTGGTGTCAAGGGGCAGCTACAAACCAGAAGTAGAGTACATCTATTCATTTCGTAACACCCTGTAGTATACCACGTATTCCTACATTCAAGCTCACTCCAGTTAGCAAAATTCTGCAGTGCAGATTCATTAAAAAGTTTAATTACAAAAAATCCCCCAACCCTACAGCAACAGGCTAACGATCATCATTCATTTTCATGTGTGTCATGCTTGAAAAAGCTTTGCATATTTTAAAACGCTATGGATCAACTAAACCTGTCAAAATCCAATCGCTGTATACTTCAGACTTCTACATTTGAGTAAATCAGAACAGCTTTTATGGGTCCATAAAACTCTGACTCATCTCCTTCAGACTGTTTTTTTTTCTTCTCCTCAATTTGTTCTCATTACCAGCTAAAGTTAATGAGAAGGCATTAAAGAATGATTTGCAGAGAGATGTGATTTCTGCTTATAGCAGCCACAAAAATCAAACATTCTTCCTCCTCACCACTAAGTCATTTGTAATTCATTGTGCGATTGGTTAGTATTATACCAAAATTCTCACCTACCTCCTCTCACACATACATACACACATTTCTCTTTCATCTCAAGAGACATGTCACCTACATAAATAATGCCAGAAAGCCCACATATCTCAAAGAGTAAAAGTTATCATTCCCAATAGCTGTTGGCACAGTCCTTAAAAAAAGCCCTCTCGTTTTCACCTCCGATTCATACATTTTCTGCCTACTAAATTTCAATTGTTTCCTGCACCCCTAAAGCCTTCCTTGTACGTGTAGCGAGTGCCTGCAGAAGCACCACTTCTGCCACAACCGTCTGTGAAAGGTTTACAATGTGTCCTCAGTTGGAACCCAGTTCTTCCATTTTAATCACGCACTGCCAGATCCAGATTAAACCCTGAAGGTGATTTTAGTCAGAATTTGTCATGTGCTGAATGCAAATTTCTTCCAAGACAGGATGCAACATAACGGCCAACTGGTAAGTCACAGCTTTAAATTCTTCAAATTCTTTAAAAAGAAGGAAGATTTATGTTTAAAGAGGAACATCTTAATGGTGTGACTGAGATTAAATAATGAACTGAGCGTAGAGGGGAGAGCTTCTAAATGGAGATTTGTAACAAATCCCTTCTACACTGCCAATCTGAGACAATCATGTCAAAAGAAGAGCATTTCAGATCTCAGTAGCCACGTTAAAAATATATGTCTATGTTACCATCCACTGTTTTCATTAAAATCTGCAAATCCTCTTTTAATATTGGCATCTGTTAATCACAGACAAAAGCAGCACACTACGTCTTAAGTCCTGAAAAAGTGACATTATAAGCCTCCTACAAAAAGGCAGTACAGTAGCTGCAGGGAGATTTCAGCTGTCAACAAAGTGGTAACCAGTCGCTGCTCCTTACTTGGTGGGTAGGGTACTGCTGTCCTACCATCCTTCCCCACAGGGCGTTCCTCAGACCCTACCGCGGGCATTTTCGATGACCGAAGAGCTGGTGATACAGCCTAAAAGCAGAATAACCACACACATTAAAAATATACACAATGCATATACATAAACAGACATAATATTAGAATTCATAAGGTATTAAAAATTCTGAAAATTCTCTGAATGAGATTTCACGAGAAAAAAAGAAGTGTGCTTTTCTCCTCTCCCACCTGCTTCCACCAAGGAGTCTGGATTTCTTGTTCCTCTTTTAACACTAAAACAAAAAGGTCCATGGGGTATTTGCTTGTGTATACACACACACCCCCCAAAGATACATACAAGCACATGTATTGAGGGCTGGAGCCCCTCTGCCATGGGGACAGGCTGGGAGAGTTGGGCTTGTTCAGTCTGGAGAAGAGAACGCTCCGGGGAGACCTCACTGCAGCTTTCCAGTACCTGAAGGGGCTACAAGGAAGCTGGGGGGGACTTTTTACAAGAGCCTGTAGTGACAGGACAAGGGGTAACGGGTTTGAATTGAAAGTGGGGAGGTTTAGATTAGATATCAGGAAGAAGTTCTTCCTGGAGAGGGTGGGGAGGCACTGGGACAGGTTGCCCAGAGAAGCTGTGGATGCCCCATCCCTGGAAGTGTCCAAGGCCAGGCTGGATGTGGCTTTGAGCAACCTGGTCTAGTGGAAGGTGTCCCTGCCCATGGCAGGGGGGTTGGAACTGGATGGTCTTTAAGGTCCCTTCCAACCCAAACCATTCTGTGATTCTGTGATCTATATACACATATTTTATCAAAAATGTTATCACTAGCACTGAGCTCAAAATTAATGTGACTATTCTATTTGCTCCATGTTTGGACCACTCTGCGAGAACAATGAGAATACAACACTGAAAGTCAGAATGCCACAGTCTGCTGCAGGAACAGCTCGACACATGCAACTCTTAAGACAAGAAGAATATTACGTCTGTCCAGGCCAACTTCACGGAAAAAGGTAGTATTTTATTTTGAAAGAACAGTCCTCTAGTAGATTTGTATACTAACTGCAAAATCTGAAGTGCAGTTTGTGTGGAACCACAGAACAGGTAGAAGTGGTAAGTAAATTGGGGCACTAGAAAAATACTGCCAAGGACCAGACATTAGAGTTTTAAACCCTATTACCTACCATCGATTGGTTTAGGATCACCTTCTGTATCACTATGGCTATGTTGGATTAAGCTTAAAATAGTAATTATTCATATTTTTGCCTTCCTTGATTTTTTCCCCAAGTAATTGATGTAAATCTTCTTTTCCTTTTGTATTTCCTAATATTCAGCAACTATTCCTCTTTGCACTGAAATAAATTGCTTGTAGGAAAGGAAGAAACATGTTTCCGAGAATTACGGAAATTCGGGAAGGTTGAATTTATTTTTCTTTGGGCAGCTTCTCACACAAGGTAAAAGAAAAACCACCAGTTAATGAAACCAGGATCTTTTCCATAACCCTCAAACAAACACAAAGTACTGGCAAAACCCCAGGATGTGAAACTAGATGTAGCGCGTTTATAAAGCGCCGACACCGCCGTTCCCCCGGAAGCGCTGCGTTCGTCCAGCCGCTCTACGCAGGACTGAGTCAGCAAGTTGTATACGCCTTCCCCTCACGACTGAAAAACCATCAGACAACACAAGCTTTGATGTTACTTACGTGATCTCCTAATATTCCTGACTTACACACACTGGTGATTCCTCTCTTTGCTAGTTAAAATCCAAGCCTACCTGGAAACTCTCCTATCTATTAGGGATAATTGCTCCCCACTAGGATTCCACCCTCCTCCTATTTTGGGCCAAGGTTTAAGTCTACAGAACACTCAGTCCTACAAAGACTTACACCAAGCTCATCTTCGTCTGAATTATCAAAGATGTTATCTAGATCATGAAGCGATGGAGCCAGATCCGTCACCTGTGTGAGGCTACCAGAGCCTACTCGGCCTGCAGCACTGTCCTGCCGAGTATCTATCAGAAAGAAAGGGAAAAACACATGAAAAATGGGAGCAAGGTTAAGAAACACAAAAATTTTCAATTTTACTTCTCACACTAAACCGGGGACAAGTAAGAATCACTGGGGCTCCTTTTCTATGATGCAGCCTGGAAACAGCCTTGGAGTCCAGCTTTAAGCAAGCACCGATACCCAGTCAGGAAAGAATCAAGGTAGCTACTGCTCAATGTCAGTATTCTAAAAAATCATATAAAATTATGCTGTTATAAGAAGGACGAGCAGAAACAAGTTCAGGAGCTGCCTACAGCTCTCAAGTTACAGTAAAATTTTCAGCCTGTGATTTTTCCTTTCAGATTCTATTGCACGGCTTCGAGTAGTTGTGCTTTGCAGAACAAGTTAAAGACCCTTACTCACCAGTCTTGGGAGCAGAACTGAAAATAGACATGGCATCTTTTCCTTCAGGAACTGGTGTAGAATGACCCGTTGTGGGGATTTCCTTGGTACCAATCCCATCTTCTGACTATACAAAAAGATCCAAGAGTTTTTAATGGATATTAATTTAAGCTACGTAGGAACAACTGCTTTGCTATGTCAGGCCAAACTCAAGGCTCTTGATTCAGCTTTGAGAAGTGAAAAACATTTTAAGAGGGGAAAAGAACACAGTTGTCTGCTCTACGTGCCAGGAAAAACGTGAAGTAACACCATGTGCTACTTGTGTCTTTGATAGCTAGTACAGACAATTAACCACCCCAACATCCCTAGAAAACCCATCTTGCAGAATTTGAAGCGTGGTGGCTACCCCTAAGAGAACAAATGAGTGAGCAGCCAGACAATGAAACAGCTCCATAACGAGTCAGGTCCTTGGGAAGTATCACGCATACAGGGGAGGTGATAACCAAAGAATGGGGATCAAACCGTTCTGTTTCCACATGGCAGAACAGCTCAAAGGAAACGTGCAAAGCAATACAGCGTCCCTGTCACAACTCCCTCAGCAGAAGGCTAGACTCATTTTGCCCAAGGGAAGGAGAAGAACCGTGGGCTGGAGAGATCTGAGCTTTGCAGTGAGGTTATATGTCAAGCTGAAGGAAGGAAGGAAAGGGGAAGGGGGGGGAAAACAAAGCGCCCAGCAAATTCTTTCATCCCTACAAGTGAATATAAGGCTCAAAATATTTTATTTCTTAGCTTAAATCTGGAACCTGCTGCTGGTCAGGCTGAATGTAAACAAACAAAGTATTCCCCGCAACAGCAGTGTTTTCATATACAAGGAGGATCAGAGGGATGCCAGCAAATACCAGTTTAAAAATATCACAGTGAAGTCAATTTTTTTCCTGTAAGCTGGTGCAGGAAAGAATACAGAATCTCTCTGGTTTTGATCTGTGGAGCAGGCTTGTGTCTTCCTGAGAGCTGTAGAGCAAATACTGCACTACTCTAAGTCCGACACGAGCATTCACGATAAAGACTCTGGAATTACACGTTACCTTGTTCTTTTTCAAAGGATCTTTCTCAGCCCCAAGTTTGCATTTTTTATTGCCAGTGAAGCTGTACTTTATATCACCATCTTCAAAAGTGTAAGGATCACTAGTGTCTCCCAAGCCTTCTCCAGGTTGCTGTATTAGAGGAAACGGCTCAAGATAGTTCAGTGTCTGCACTGGTTTCTGCTCTTCCAAAATTTTAAACCGTTTATTAGGTTGTGCTAAGAGCCTGAAAGTACAAATAAAAAAGCAAACAAAGCCATCATGAAACAAAACAAACATACCTTTTACAGCAAAGAAAAATAACAGCTCTTCAAACCCGCAGCTGTCACACACAAATACAGCCCATGTCCCACTCCATCCTCCTTGATCTAGCAGAAACATGTTTTTTCCTTGAATTTGCCCACATTTAGTATTAAACATCTTACTGTATTAAGAACTTCTACTTCGGGACAATAAAAAAAAAGAATTAATCTTGTCACTGTATAAATCAAAGCACTTTGAAGTACACATAACCCTTTCAGCCTACCAACTCCATTGTAATTACCAAAATCAATGCTGTCATCACTTAAAAGTTCTTCCTCAATCACTTTTAGTTTATATATTTTCATTAACTACGCTCTTTGGTACGTTTTCCATGGTACATGAATCCACGTTAAAAAAAAAGGAGCGAGCTAAAAATTCCTTACAATGCAGGTAGCCCGTGTTCTTTGCTAAGGAAGACACTATGTTAAACGTGGTTTTTCTAAAGCAACATTTGTAAGAGATTAGCATTTGCTCTTTGCTGTGTACAGCCCAGAGACACTGTTAGGATTTTCAGTTTCAATCCTACAGAGGCTGAAGTTAATAGTAAAGCTGCAAACTATTTCCAAATCTGACAGTGGGTTTACAAAAAAGCAGTATTATTGCACAATGTAGTATCAGCTACCACTTAAAGAAAGCACAGTACAGTGCAATTTTAAACCCACACCATTGGACAAACCACACTGAAGTGCCCCTACAGTGCCATGAACAGGATTTCACTCAAACCCAAGCATTTATGTAGCTGGCAGGTTGCATAACTACACACAGGTTTTCTTTTTTTAAATTATCCAAGGACATAAGCTTAATCAAACTCTTACCTTTGCTCAAATTACTGTGATACAGGTTCCACAGAGACTTAGCAGTTCTTGTGTGTCCAACAGAAAGCCAGCTGAGCAGATGTAAACATGTGACAACAGCACATTTCTATCTGGTACCTGACGTTACCACCAGCATACATCGCCTCTGACGTTATAGTGAAGCCTTCTACTCGTTCCCATTCCAACTGAAAGCAGTTTGGTCATGCTTACCATTAATAAATCCCCCAGAGCAGTGCTCACGCCTACCTTTTCAGTGCAGTGCTGTCCGAGTTGATTTCCATCTTGGTATCGTATCTCTCGCAGGGAAGATCGGGCGGCCGGAACTCTGGATCATCACTGCATGGGACGCTGTATGTCCTCCACATGTCGAGCGACTCGCTGTTCTGGACGATCCCACAGTACAACGCCGTCTCGCTGACCTCTGCCATCAGAGGCAACCTCTGCCCAACCAGGACTGTCCTATCGTCTAAGGTGGGCAACGGCTGGAGCTCCAGCCCACCGCCATAGAGTGCTGGGTTTACAGGAATGGACGGCGGGTCCAGGTTCTCTGCTTCCTGACCTCTCGGCTGGGGGCTAAGTGTGGGAGGCAGAGGGGAAGTAGGGGAATGGGGTGAATCCATAGGATTCATATTCATTTGCTTGCTTGGATTTCTAGCAGGTATAGATAGCGGCTTCTCGTATTTTCTGGAATTAGCGACTTCTAAAGAGGGCTCCCTTCCTGCTAACCCCCGTTTCTGCCCTGCTGCGTCCTGCTCCATGCACAGCTCCTCAGTCACAGAGGGCCGATGGTGAAACGGCATCATAGGCCTTTTTTGCAGTTTATCTCCTTTTTCCTGTCTCTCTGTTGTTTTGTGCTTTGAAGAGGCGGGAGGCGGCAATGATGCTGATGATGTTCCCACGCTGAATCCTGGCTGATTTATCGTTGGGGGACGGCTGGAGCCAGCAGCACAACGCTGTTTGAAAACCTTGTGCCTGAAAGCAGAGGCAGAAGCGAGTCACTGCGAGGTTTAGGCAGTTATCTGATCTAACTGAGAAAAAAACCCCAGCCCAAACCCCAGAGAAGCGCACTGAGAAAAATCTTATGTCTATTCCTGATCTTTAACAGGTTCTGCAACGGGAAGATGAGCTGGGCCAGGTCATTCAAGCCAGCACAGCTGCAGTTCCTCTAGCCTATAAAATGGAAAAATGTCGGTCTCCAGAAAACAGCATTCAGAGGCAAGATTAAATGTTTGTAAAAGCTTAGTACCGCTCAGATGGAAGGTAATACAACAACAAAATGCAGGCTACTGTTGTTTTCATTACCCCAAAGAAAGCCTTTGAAATAGCATGACCGCTGTGGGATACAGCGCTCTGCGCACTCCCGAGCATCTGTTAGAGAAGATACAGGTCGGGATTGTTTTAGTTATGTTGACAGGCGCCCTGCATGGCAGGATGCTTTCACGGCCGTTTCCTCCTCTGTATCAGGTGAGGAAAAATAAGTACAGCTCTAGTCCAAAACCAAAACAAAAAAAAAAAAGAAAAAAGAAAAAAGGAACGAGCAACTACCAAGTGATGAAGAGAACATGAATAAATATTTCAAAATATTCCAAACGAAAAGTGCAGTAACATCGAACTTATTACTGGCTTCGTATTTTAATATGGCTTTTTTCAATTCCAATATACAGTAGCTGAGACTGGGAAGCACAGGACTGAATTTCAGTGTTTCAGGTACTGGCAAACAGTATTTTCATCATACAGCTGATGGTTAACAGGGACGTGTAGCTCTGTCCGTATTTTTATTGGCCTTTTTTGTTGTTTGGGGTTTTTTGTTCAGTTGTTTGGGTTTTTTTAAGCTAAGCAGAAATTGAAAGATGTACTGTGCTTACTATTTATACCTGTTTAAAGTTAAATGCCATTTCAAAATAAATCACTCCATCCCTATTTCTGTTTATAAACAACAGTATCCAGGCCAGCAACAAAACATTTCAAAACGTGCAATACACTTTTTATCACAAAGGTAAATACCTTATCGCAAGTCAAGTGGACTACTAGACTGAAGAAAAACAATTCTGCTTTTCTGACTTAGCTTTGAAAACATCCAGGTTTCACAGTACACAGTGGCTGTCAAATGGTATAAATACAACTACTTGTACTTGCTACTCTCCTTCCTGTAACCATCCGTGATGTGTGGTATTGTCCTGGCTTTCTTTGTGGGCTCTGCTGTCATCAGGACATGCTGCAAATTCTCTGCAGCAGCAGATGGTCCTTAGCTGCAATCACCCATAATGTGGAGCTAATGCCTCATCACTGAAGATTTGCCTTAAGCGTGTTCTTGTAACGTGGCATTGACTTAATTCTCCGTCATTCACCCCATTTTAACTGACCGCAGAAAATTATTCTAGACATTCTGTCCTTCAGCACACCAAGTTGGGTCTATAGAAGATTGAATTTGATGCCAAGTATCAGGCAACCCTTTAAGACTCCATATTTAAGATCGTATCTTGACATTTATACTCTCATTTATACAACAGATAGAATGGGCACAGTAATGACTGAAACAATATGTGACAGTGGCTGTCCAGTTTCTGCAGCTGCACAGAAAATTCTGATTGCTGTATCAGGTACTGCCTTCATTTTAAGGATGTTTTAATTTCCCAGGTGCTGTGTTTACTACCTCCAGCATGATGGAGTTATCGCAGGAGACGTTAAGAGATGGTATGAAATTGCAAATGCAGCTGAAACTATCCACAGGCAGATAACACGTTAGGATTTGGTTAGACAAGATATTAATTTTACTATTATTCACAACAGCATCATGCGTGAGTTTGCCTTGCTGTTGAAAGAAAAAGAAAGAAGAAGAAAGAAACTTAGCTAAGCCTCAACCAGATGAAGAGCAGAGAATCACTGGCTGTTGTGTCGACTGTTATCGTGCCAAAGACCCCTGCTGCAGCTGGGAGGGGGTGGGGGGGCACGGGGGCATGAGACAGGAAAAGAAACACAAAACCAAAGGGGTTGGCACTGCATGATCAGTGTTTCTGATCCTATGAATGACATCTGCGTCTGTGCATACTTGAGGAGTAACTGCTCTAGGTCATAAAAACACCTTTACCAATCTTTTAAGTAGATGGTGACCTTAGGAAATAAAAAATTCAGTGGAAGCAGTTTCACAGGATTATTTCACTGGAAACTGGTTTTTCTAGCCCTGTAACAACTCTGATAATTTCAAGAATGGCTAAGAAGCACTGGTACTGCTGTTTTGCTTTTCCTGAGTGAGTAGTACGGGAACTTTAAGCATTCATCGAAGATGACAGACAATTTAATAAACTTTTACAGTGCTCGTGTAAGTGAGCAGAGACCTCTTTTTGACCAGTTGGCAGTGGTTGATCATGCTGCAAAGGTTTTATATTCTCTTGGGTGTTTTTTGGTGTCTGATGAGTCGTGGCAGATTGACTAGAGGTACATGGAGTGAAGTGATTCTTAGGGATATTTTTCCTCTTCCTGCAAACAGGGACAGTAGCACTATCCCTCAGTCAGGATGCTCTGAAACTTAGGCAGCTTCTGCCCCTCTTCATCATGAGTCTCACCGCTCCAAACCTGAAAGCTCACATCTCTGAAAAGCTGGAAGGATGAGTTCATTACAAACGAGAAAGTTTGAGTGATTTTAGACCCCATTCTCTCCTCTGGGATCCATTTTCCACTCAAGTTGACAGCTGCAAGCGACAATGATACGAGGTGCATAATAATCACCTGAATGTGAGTGATGATCACAGTTTCCATACCAGAGATTCCTCTTCTCTCAGCTAAGACATAACTCCCTTTTATAAGCGTACCTCTGAATTAAATGAGGCTACAGTACAAAAAACGCTTACAATATCTTCAAAGCTCACCTGGAACAAGAACAACTGACTCTTTGGACTGGATCCACAAAATCCCAAGAAACAGTATTGTTAGGAACTTCCTCTTCCAAATTTGCAGTCGTAATTTGATTCCTCCTGAAGAAGATAAAATTATTTTAGTAGTTACCACTTTCTGTAAAATAAAATTTTAAAAATGCATTTGCATAAATTCACCTATGTTCCCCTCCAATAAATTACTTCCTTCTACTTCACCTTAGAAATAAAATTCTCTATTTAACAGTAGTTCCCTCTACTGCTCCTTAAAACTTATCATTTGATGTATGTGGGGGGATGGTACCTGCTGTACATCAGATAGCTCTGTCTGGAGTTTGAGCACAAGAAGCAAGGGGCATGAAATTAATACTGAATCTGGATATTATTCCAACATATCCAATGAAGAAATTGCATGAAGAAGTGAAAAGTAAAGATTTCAGGGCACACCATGCCACGAATATACTTTAAAAGTATATTCTCCAGTAATAAAGGCTTACGACATGAATTTACCATATCCTCGTTGGCTGGAATTTTAGTCCAACACGTAATATAATGCTTTACCAATTTGTGTTCCAAACACCAAATACATGCTATTTGTTCTTCAGTCACCCAACTTGCGGTCTAGTAACTACAGCTGGAGCTGGAAACTGTGATCAGTAAACCTGAAAGCATCTAGCCGAAGGTACTTGTTGTAGATTTGTACCCTCAGAGAGTGTCACAATTAAGATGCACAACTGCAAATACAATGTTAAGTGTCAGGAGTATTCAGCCAAACCCAGTAACAAATTGTCTCTGATAATGCTGTTCTGCATCATTAGCTCTGATTAGTGGGAAAAGAATTCGGTGAGGAATAACATTGTCTAAGGCAAAACTATCACAATTTTAACTATATATTATGTGTTATTAATGAACAAAACCATCAGGACTGCTGCCTTACTTGGACTGCGACCTGTTGAGAATGCACTCCTTCCAGACACGGTGAACCATATGATTGTGAAATTTTGGAGTAATCTTGCCTGATTTCTTTGGACTCTGTACACTGACTGTGCCCTCCTGTACAGCTGAATGGCTGATGGTGCTCTGAGAGCAGCCGCTTTCTCCTGCAACAGAAATCAAGCATTCATGTTACAGCTGTTCTTGATATTCACGTGTGATACTATTTCCTGAAAAGATTTTCCCTTCTACTGAGTGCCTACACAGATGTTCACATTCACTAGAAAATGCTTCAGGCGTCACTACAGAAGACTAACTAAACTACATTTCCAAGTAACACTTGCCTTTGGGATAACAAAGATGGGACTCGGTTTTACCGGGTACACGTGCAACACAGTCGTGCGAGTGCCACACCTCACGTGTGTAAGGTAACACGCTCTGCTGCTGACGTGGAGTAGTTCAGACAGCCACCCACAGCCCTGTACCGAACCACTAAGAAATAGTGCAGATAGAATGTTTTCACTATTATCTGAGGTGTTAAACTTCATTTTATATAGCCTTTGGTGAGTTGCTTTAAAAACTAAATTTATTATAATATGAATTGCTCTAAAAGAATCTATTAAGAAAACAAATAATTTATGTATAATTTATTGTTATTTCAAAGCAAGAACCAGTTTTTTATCCCCAAAATACAGCCTCACCAAAGAAACAAATGGATTAGTGTGATGTTGTTTCTTTATACCACGCTTGAACTGAAATACCGGAACCCACACTCGCTTTGGTGAAATACACAGTTGAGATGCACACTACTACCGGGATGCTCAGCGGTTGATCCTTTAGTACGTGCTATTAACATAAAATGCAAGGTATAATATATAATATTAATATAATATACAATTATCAAAGAGAGAACTAACCAAGCTCTGACTTCAACATGTTAGCAGCCTGAAAACTCTGATTTACATTCTGCACTTCACTTCTTTCCCTCTGTGATGCAGAAACCTTACCAGCTATTGTACAAGCAGATGTTTCTTTCTCTACTATGAAGTATGCTTTCGTTTTAAATGAAGGGGAATCGGAGGGCCAGCTTTCCAACCACAAAGGACAACAGCAGAGGGAGCCGTAGGTTCATTCAGCCTGGCAACTGAGCAACTGGCTCTGCTCTGGATGGGAAAGTGAGGATATGCCGCATTTTAACAAGGTCAAATCAGTGTACAGAACACTTTGTCCTTCTGCCTGACGCAATTTAAGAAGCCTTAAGAACGAAATGCTGGAAGGAGTCACAGCTATACATCACTGCGGCTAACAAGGTAATTCTGCTCATTTCTACCAGGTGACTTTCAAAATGCAACTTTTTAAATCGTGCACAGGCTGCCGAACCCTCTGTCTGCTTTGAATCTTCATGCCTGGATTTTTTTCCTCCAGTCAGAACTCCCCTGATTCTCTTTTTGAAGAGAATTCTAATGTAAAAAAAGGAGCAGTCAAAACCATAAATCCCTAAACATACTGAGGCCTGTGGGCCTAACAATTCCTTCATTGGCTTTCAGTGTTCTACAACGCTGTGAACTTGACAAATGATCAAAAACCAGACCAAAACTTCAGAATGAGCAAAGCTATCCTCCTCTGGGGGTAGGAAGGGGGAAGGAATATGTTCGTATGAACAAACACATACACACCACATACGTCAACAGCAGGACAGTTTCAACTGCCTGGGAAGTGAAGTAAAATATGATGGAAAGGGAAGGGCAGAAGGGCGGAGTGGATAAACAAGACACTACCAGAGCTTTCGAGTACATTTGAGCGCGCTGTTTTCCAAAATCCCATAATATTTTTATGCTATACAGTACAGCAATACATTGTGTAACATCAGACAGAACTTTGCAGCAGGCAAAACCGTTCTGTTCTCATACACTGGCATTAATTTTTATCCATGGAAATCAGTGACAAAATACTGGCACACACACAACTAACTATGTCATGTAATGGTATAAACACTGGAGGACACAACCAGAGGTCACTTCCCAATCCCTCTAGTGCCGTCTGTTCCTACACATGAAAAATGCCAGTCCCTGTTTCACCAGCAATTTGATTTGTTACGTACCCTGAACACAACCATGGAAAACGGTTGAAAGAGACCTGACGAGATCCTCTAGTCCATCCCCTGCTTCAAAGCTGGGTCCACTCCTGCTCCTGAAACACTTAACTAACCTGTTCTTCAAAAACAAACCAACCAACTGCCCCCACAACAAAACCCCAACAACCCACCCACCGCTCTGCTAATGGAAATTCTGTAGCTTCCCACCAGCCAATGTATTCTAACACTTCGTTATCCTTCCGCAGAGGAAGTTTTCCCTCGTGTTTAACCCAGTTTTGCTTTGCTCCAGTTTAGGTTCATTACATACTGGTTGCACAGACAATATTGTGCTTTTTTTCCTTTTATGTCTCTGAAGGCTGTTACATCGTCTCTCTTTTATATTTCTCTTCTCTAGACTAAACAACCTTAATTCTTTCCATCTTTTCCTGTAGGTCCTGTTTGCAAAATCTATCATCTTACTGCACTGTTCTGGACTCCATCCCATTTGTCCACATCAGTGTTCAAAACTGGACATGGCACTAAACCACATTTTACCAGTGTGGGGCAGAACCGAAGCATTAATTCACTAATCCAGGTTATGTATCCCATTTACTGACTCTGAGCTGCATGGCATGTTTTTCCAATCCATTTCTCCAATTTTTCAAGGTCTTTTAAAATGGTGTGTGATACAATAGAAAGGAATCCTTTCATTATTCGCTGGAGAGGCACCCCTCTGATACAATTTCAAATTGCCCTCAAACAATAGCAAAGATCAAACAGAAACTGTGACTGCCAGATTGGACAATATGAACACTTTTCAGACATTAATAGTTTATAAATATTCTCAAATGGAATCCCCTTGTGATATTGTACAAGTTTAACAGGGACCTGAAAAAAAATTAAAAATACAACAGCACATTAAAATATGCATCAATGCTTCACTAGAGATTGTTATTTAGAAGTCAACTGTCTTGCTTCAGTTAGTTACTAATAGGCTTTTTGCTTATTTTAACTAATCAGCTGCCTTGAAATATACTATTCAAAGTGAATTTAAAACTCACATTCGGTATGATTACCAGTAAATACTAAATACTTTGATTGCCTTCACATGCAGGCACTGTTCGTGGACATGTGAATCCAAACAAGTTCTTCCATGGCTTTGAAGCCAATGATGATTAGTTTTCTTTGGCTTTGCATCAAGATTGATCCCCTTGATGTGACAGACTATCTAATAAAGGCTAAGCTAACATGGTAGCTCCTTAGGCCTCAGGGAGGGCATAACAAGGATTCTTTATTCCCATCTGGCTGCAGACTCTCACAGAAACTTGTAGGAACTTCATGACTTTGACGCTTCTATGTGTGAAATTTAATAAGCTCTAATCAACAAGTTCAAGTACAAGCAGAAGGAGGTTGCCCAGTGGTCTCTAATGATTTTGCTGAAGCGACTCAAGTCAGAGAATCTTCTGTGAACTGAGAACTCAATTCCAAATAATAGTCATTTGCAAAGTGTAAAACATGCCAGTGCTTGTGAAATTATTATTAATAAAGGTTACAAGGAGCAGCTGAGAAAACTGGGGGAGGGATCCTATCAATGTATAGAAACAGCTGACAGGGAGAATAATAGCCAGGATATCACCAGCAGTATCCAGCAAAAGGATAAGAGGCAAGGGGCATAAATTGAAACACAAGGAATTCCATCTAAACAAAAGCTTGTACATTTTATTGGGAAGGTGGTCAGCCACTGGAACAGGTTGCCCAGAGAGACTGTGAAGTCTCTGTCCTTGGAGATATTCAATGTCCTGAGCAACCTGCTCTACCTGACCCTCCCTGAGCAGAAGGGTTGGATCAGACAACCTCCAGAGGTCCCTTCCAACCTCAACTGTCTTGCAATTCCGTCAGTAATTGCCAAGTCTGTAAAGAGCGAGTTCAGAAGACAATCTTCACAGAAGAAATTAATTAGCTTCAAAACATTTTTGTAAGAAAGAAAAAATCCTTGGATTTCTTTTTTCTGTATCAGGTATTTTATTTTTTCTTTTTTACTTTATTACCATAGAAGCTTGCCATATTACCATAGAAGGACATTTCACTCCTCTATTTCTTAGTTCTCATTTGAAACTGCAGCCCTGAATTTGTTACAGCATAACCACACTGACAGCCACTAATCTTAAGGTCTTGTCTGCATTCCAGATACTGACAGGTTGTATTTATTTATTTTCATTTGTGAGGAGCAACAGGCTACACATTCATCTCAATGAAGCATCATATTAAGGATCTAGTACCCCTCATACCAACCATCTGGATGGCTACGGAGATCAGAACTGCTATGGATCCAAACGCTTGAAAGGGGCATACTCTGTTATCCAGGCAAAACATGTAACTCACGTGCAAATACTACGCAGCACTCCGTTTGCCATCCGCACGTGATGCAAGCCTGTGTCAGACCTCATCTGGGAAGCCCAGCTCCTTATCACCAATTCCAGAGACTCACACACTTCTGCTGAGTGGCCCTTAATTAAAACCCAACTGTGCTGGGCAAAACCAGTAGCTAGCATGTGCAAGTTTTTATTCCACCACCATAAGCGCTGAGTTGAGCGCTGTATTTCTAGCTCTTTCCAAGAAGAGCTACATACTCTTGTATGTTCCTGTGCTCTTGTACCACAATGACTCAGTGCCCTCCTCCCATCCCAACACAAGAAAACCAACACTAACACCAGCAAAATCTGAGTCTAAAACCTGCCAGAATCCAGTCTCAGGCGTTCGCACTGCTGCACAAAGATAAGGCAGCTAGGGGAAGTGGAGCTTAGCTGAATTCAGAGCTTTGTTTAAAGCCGTGTCTTCTTCAGGGGTGTTTAAAGCATTTACCGCAGACCTCTCCTAACTTGCAGTTTATTTCCTGTCTTTAATCTCCTACTGTTCTCCTACTTACCCTCTCTTACCATGAGCTATGCAAAACTGGAGGACTGACTCCAGGCTCCTGCGTTTATTGCTTACCCACAACGGCCTGCTCTGGAGAAGTGGGTGGAGTGAGTGGCATCCCACAGGTACTAGCAGGATCTTTCACGCTTCCAAGCCCCTGCTGTCCCACATTTATATGGCCTCCAGTATTGGCAGCATTCTGAGACATGGGGATGTCGCTCTGGGAGATGAGAATAAAGGCTGAAGGATATACCATCCTTACACCACCTACAAAGAAAGGGAAAAACACAAGTCTGAATATACCTTAAGATATTCAGCAGCCCTAGCTACTTCAACTTGTTTTCAATGTCAATTAGGCAAAACTTATTATCTGAAATACAAAGAGCGAAGGAATTTCACACGTTAATATACATCAAACCCTCTGCAACCAGTGCAGAGCCGAAACAAGTAGCTTGATACTGCGAATAATAGCATGTGGGATACAGGGAGTACAGAAGCTTGAGGCGAGATAACTAGTCAGATGTTCCAGTGTCAAGAGAGCTACAAGAGGAGATAGGAAAATTATAATGGCTGTTTCTGATTAATTAGATTTTTTTTTTTTTACAGTGTGTGGAGGAAGATAATCCTTCAGGCAGAATACTGCAACTTACCGACAATGACTTCAACTGCCACAGGGAAATCGTTGTCATAGCCCAACTCGTCGTCCTCTTTCATCCCTTCTTTCTTCTTCAGCACCATAGGGTAAAAATACTGCCACTCCTCCATCAATTTACGCGTTGCTGGGTCTGACATCTTATATGACTGGCCCGTGAGTGTACCACTTAAACCATAAGGACTCACCAAAACTGCAAAGTAAGAAACAACAGTCCCTGCAGTATTTCAACCCTGTATCAGCCAGGCTCTGCCTCCCTGCCTTGAGTCACTGTGCCCTCCGCACGCTGACGGAGGGGTCTGGCTTCAGGGAGAAACCACTGCACATCCATGCAAGGGTGTGACTTTAAAGCTACGTTACACCACACCAGCTTCCTGTGCAGCTGTCCTTACTGAGCTAAAAATGGACCTTTTTGCAGTTTAATAATTTCCACAATGGACTCAGAGTATTGAAAGAGCACTCGCTATGGCAGTGAGATGTCCATACATGGAAGCAATACAGGATAGTCAACAACAGGGTTTTTACCGGGAACATATGGCACTAGAAACTCCTCTGCATTACAAAGGATAGAGAGAGCAATATATGAAGACAACTACAGTCATGAGAAATAGGGAGGCCTAGTTGCTCCACAACAGGCATTTTCATTCAGACTCAATTTGGATTTTACTCATATTTGATTTGACAGCAATGAATTTAGCTCACGGATGTAAAACCTGCTATGATTTAAGTGTCTGAGCCTCTGTCAAAACTTTACACTTAGGAACAAATTGTTTTTCAATAAAGCTTCTATAAATCAACATCTCTATAAATGCTTATAGTCTCTGGGTGATTCTTTATTGTATGTTTAATTTTATAAAGATTTCTTGGTTTAATTGGTTTGAAATTATAAATTCAGACTGTAGTAAAGACAATGCAACCCAATGACTCCAGTATCCTTAAATTTTTTTGATGCAGAGCATTCTACCACAATTGCATCATGAATTTAATAAGCCATTAACTTAATTCTGTAAAACCCTAATTTCTTACACTGGCAAATAAATAGTCACAGGTGCTCTTAAGTCTTTCATTGTTTCTGATACACGTTCGCACGTACCCTTTGTTAAATTAAAAAAATAGTAATTTTTTTAAAGTTGACAATCTATGAATGAACAGTACTCCTGAATTAGATAAGCTTAGTATTTGTCTTCAAGTAGCATCGAAGTTACACATTTGAGCCACCTCAAATGTTTAAAAAAAAAAAAAAATCAGTGCACTCCCTTTCTTAGTTAACAAGTCTTTTTAAACAAAAGTGATTAATTGATTTATTTTAAATACTATATGCATGTACCTTTAAAAACAATGTTAATGAATAGAAAGGTTTGGAAAATTCCCTCACCCTTTATGGCTGGCTGTAGTGCTCAAGTCCTAGCAACACTCTCCCTTATGCCCACAACTTCCTGAACTGACATTTAACCGATCTGAAGAGTTCCTGAGTCTTACTTTATTCCCCTCTGAAGATGCCATCACCAGGAGCAAAGTCCCTGCCAGTGACGTCAGGCACCCCGAGCTCCAAACGCAGGTCACTCACCTTGGAACGGCGACGGTGAGGACTGGGCCATATGGATATGCTCTTCATTGATCAGGTAGATGGGCTGGTGTTGAGCGATCTCCACACTCGTGCACACATTGCTTTCCCCGTGAAGAAAGAATGTGAAGGCACACGACAAATGTTCACTGGAGGAGGGGAGAGACAAATGAGAACAGATTTATTAACACGTTAATGAACTCATAGGAGGCAGTGATTCCAAAGCCTTAGAGGCGAAACCTGTGCTCTTCTGTTTTGGCACTCGTGGCTACTGAGTGCAGGGTCAGTGCAGCACTGACCTCGAGGATTTGTTTTCCTACTTGTTTCAACTAATTCATTTCAAAGAAATGGGATTTTAACCAGGATTCAAGTAATAAAAATAACAGTCTTCAGAAAGAAAAAGGAAGTCTTCAAAATTCACTCTGCAATGGGTTTTAGCTGACAAGGAATAAAAAAAGGAATAAGAAAGACGTCTGTCTAACACCTCAGGAAAACCTCCATTAAAGAAAATGCAAGCCCATGAATATTACAAAAAGCTGACAATGGTCTAAGATGAACCACGGGTTTGCCAACAATGATTAAACTTAATTTGAAATGAATGGTATTGAAAATGTTCCCACTTTATTCTACCCATAGAACGACCTCCCACCATAGCTAACTATTTGCTTAAATATTCCTAGCCACAAGAAAAAGAAAACAAAACACATTTCATGCTTTTTATCATCATTTTAATCAACTAAAAATTTACAGAGCTGAAGTGGTAATTATGCAGTATTTTTGCTGTCCAATATAATAGCTGCACATAGTTTTATAGCTGTTGGCTTTGGCGCGGGACCAGCCATAGTGTAACCAGTATTTTAAAAGACTGCTCTTAACTACCTTCACCAAAAAGTAATAACACAGGCAACTATAGCTATTTCACTTCAGTATTTAAGTCAAACAACTGCTCTACTACTGTCAGCTACTTCTAAACAAAGGCACTGATGATGCTCTAGCACAGGAAGCTGGTTTAATCTCACAAACTCTCTGCATGATTCTACACATCACGCAGAACACATTTTTGTCCTGTGCTGCATGTTACTATTCTCTGAATCTCAAATACTACCAAGAAAAAACCTGAAGAAGATGGAAAATTGAGAAAAGTCTGGAGAGAAATGGTTAGTTAAAAGACAGGTAATAAGTAACTTCCTTGGAGCTACCATCCTGCGTTCAGAAATATTTTGCAGCAATCATTTAATTCCATAAAATAAAAGTGTTTATTAGATTTCCATTTTCATAAGAGAAAGAAATTTCACTATCAGTGTTGAGTAAATAAATTGATCATTACTTTACAGGGGGGCAGGGGGAACAGGACATGGTGATTTTCATAGGAGAAAGAAATTTCACTATCATCAGTGTTGAGTAAATAAATTGATCATTACTTTACAGGGGGGCAGGGGGAACAGGACATGGTGCATAATTTCCATTCTAAACGGCTATCTTGCCCCACGAAAGAAAAAAATAATCAATTCATGTAAAAAAAAAAAAAAAACAAAACAGATTTCTGCACATACAAGAAATACAAAACTGAAAGCAAAGCCCAATTATTTAATCAAAGCCCATTGGTTTCCTTACATAGGATGATAACCCCCAGCATCAAAAAGATGAGGCATCTGGTCTAAGATCAAGCGGAGATAATCTCTGCAAAGAGTTCAGTGTGCAGCAGGTCAGCCTTTCTAAAGCAGAGAGCAAAGCTATTTGTAAAGTAGTCATTTTCAACTCCTGTCTTTAGGATATTACACAGAAATCCTCCTGATTCCGCAAGCTTCCTACCGTGCTCGACGGTGAAAGTCTTGCTTGTCTTTTATTGAACTGCAGAAAAAGACAGCCTTCTGGGACCACACAGGGACGCTTTCAAGTCTCTTGCAAAGTGGCCGGGCACGAACAAATCACCTGCAATCTTCTGCAACGTTCACAACTACCCACAAACACCGTCAGAATACGGAATAGACAAAAATCCCAGTTTAAAAGAGAACAGCTTCGCTGGTTTCTGCAGCCAAGGGAATGCATGCCACTAACTTTTTCAACAGAGAATCGGCTAACACCAAAATTAAGGTCAGAAAATTCAATCGCCTCGGATTAGAAGTGTATACGACTAAAAACAGGAAAAAAGATAAACAAATACACTATTAGCCTATTTCACTTTCCTGCAAATATGACAGATTAAAGAATAATAGTCATGAATGTGACTACTCATGACCAGCAATAAAAACTTAATTCGTGAAAGATGGATCCGTTCTAGCACTGGATCCAAAGTAACGCACGCTCGGCTGTACCAATCTCATTCCCTCAAGCACTGCTTTTCTCCAGAGCTCAGCTAACCAGCCCTTTGGCAGGAAGCACTCCGGTAAGCCTGCGCACCTCCGGCATGGAGCCTTCGCCCCCGCCGCGTCCTCCCGAGGGAGCCTCGTGCTCCGCGGGGCAGAACCTCACACCCAGCCGAAGCTCCCGCTGGTGCCGCTGCCATAGCCATAAGCTCAGCTTTTGAGCACAAAAATAATAAAGATCGAGGCCTGGGGACTTCCCGCGTTTCTAATTAGCTCCTGGCAGGTTGCAAGTAACGTGTTTATTTTAGTAGCAAATACGGATTTTATTTCAAGACAACAGCACCAGCGCCCTGGGTGATGTATTCCGCTCAGGCGTGTACTTCCCAGCCTCCCGACATTCCTGTCTTCAGTACATTTCGCACAATTCCTTAAATACCAAGCTGCAGAACTCACTCTGGCTACAAATGTGAGACAGATCTCTGAATAAAAATCGAGCAGAAGAAAACTTCCCCGGCTCAGCCCAGCCCGCCGTCAGAAGCCCGCTGGGCACCCGGGCGTCACTGACCATTTGGCGACAGCTCTATGGCGCACATCAAGGCCTACATACCCCACACCAAAGCCCTAAAACACTGGGATTGTTCAGGTCCTCACGAGAGCCTTCCAACAGCGTTTTATCAACATCCAGCTTTAACAGATCCCCTACTCCTCGTGCTAGCAAAGGCACCATAAAAAAGCTAAACACAAGATGCAAATCGGACTAGAGTTTCTAAAAATAGTCAGCACCATGTTCAGACTTTTTTTTTTTTTAAATTTAAATTTATTTCAACCTAGTTCAAAAACTGAAGCTGACAGGTTTTTGAGAACCCACTCTACTATCTCGCCAGGTTTTATACTTAAACATTTCTGTAATCTTTCTTATCTCCCTGACATTCAAAATAGAGCAACCACCGGAGAGGCATGTGAAACAGCTTCCAAACTATCTCCCCCACTCCACAAAGTCTGCTGGAATACCTTGAGCTTTCAGTTTATACCCATTCAGAACAAATACAGTAAGAAAAATACCACCACTTTTTAACAGCTGCATTATACATCTACTTTGCAAGTATTAACGAATTACACAAGGAACAAAACTTGCTTCAGAATCACGTTTTTGAGCCTAAACTGCTGCCCAGAGGCAAGGAAGAAGGGACATAGTCTTTTTAGGTGAAAGCATGGTGACCATCCTGAGCAAGCCCTGATCCTTATCAGGGGAGTGCAACATGCTATATAATCCCCAGAAGTTCCAAATCAGGAACCTGAATCAGACTGAAGCATCTAATGCATTTAAAAAAAAAAAAGTTGGGAGCATTTAAAGTTATTTATGACTTGGGTAGAGTTAAAATTGAAAGTGCTTAGCCATGTGCCCATCAACTCAGTATGAAATGTACTTCAGATGGATTAATTCACATACCTACCATTTAGGGTTTGAGGTTTTTAATTTCATAGAATCACGGAATGGTTTGGGTTGGAAGGGTTGAAAATGGAATGGTTGAAAGACGATCCAGTTCCAACCCCCCTGCCATGGGCAGGGACACCTTGCACTAGACCAGGTTGCTCCAAGCCTCATCCAGCCTGGCCTTGGACACTTCCAGGGATGGAGCATCCACAGCTTCTCTGGGCAACCTGTCCCAGTGCCTCCCCACCCTCTGCGGGAAGAATTTCTTCCTGATATCCAATCTAAACCTCCCCACTTTCAGTTTAAACCCGTTACCCCTTGTCCTGGATGTAATTTTGGATGACAAACACGCAAATAAATTACTTCAGGAAAATAACAATAATAATAATAATATGCCAATAACAATTACTTCTTTGGGATTTGGGAGAGCACCAAGAAGGATCTACTGTCAGCCTGTCCCCCCCACAGCAGAGGGGCTCCTCCCTCCGATCAATTTCTTCCTGTTGTTGGTTTTTTCAGGCATACAAACTGTCACCAGAGACAGTGGCAGCTGCAGCAGTTTTCCATCAGCAAATTTCAACACAAACTGAAGCAAGACCTATTCTTTACATCCTACGTTATAAAAATTAGAAACATGTTCAAAGAATGCAAATCTGTAATGGTCCTCCTGCCCCACCGTGCAGAAATTTTGTCTGCTTTTCACAGGTACCTTTTCAGAAACCTTTCTTTCCCCTACAGGCAATTGATGGCTGCCTCAGGATGTCATCTTCCCAGACAGAATACACAGAACAGAGACAGTATCTCTTATTTCCAACTATAGCTGCATTACGGCCGAGGTCTGAAAATGCTGAGCACTGTGGCCTTGAGCCAGCAGAATTCTTCAGCATATACTTTCAAGACTATTTCTGCTATATTCACTGAAAAGGACATATGTGCTAAAATTAATTGTTTGAATAAAAGGCTTCTATTAATAGGAATATGAAGAAAACAAAAACTAATCACTCCCCAATTACACAGTGACAAATATTCTGTGCCCTTTCCTGTAATGTTGTTTTGAATCTGTTCTTGGTACTTAGATCCCTACCTTTTAAGAGTAGAGAAACTGATAAGGAAAAGCTCTGAAAGAAAAGATCTCCTAAGCATTACAGGTATTTTTTCCCTGTAACATAGAAAAATCTTCCAATAAAGAGTATTTACATTAATCAAATCTTCAATTTGGCATCTCATCACCTGCAACTGACAGCTGCCTTTCAGATGTTTCCTCTGGGATCCTCATTACCTTAAATAACCTTTGAGATGCCTAAAAATATCGCTGAACACCTTGTCAAGGTAATATTTAGGACCTCTTATAATCTTTATGAATGTCAATCCCTCAGTTACTATAAATGACTTAAAGGAAGACACAATA